ATTGATTGGGGCGATGGGGGGTGGGGTGTGTCTTTTCGCACTCATATCAAGCGTGGCCTGGCTTTTGTTCTCACGTGACTTATTAAATGGCGCGAAAACCTTCGTCAAGTTTCCGTGAAATGGCGACTTTAGTTTATTGCACGTGTGGAGTGATGTTTATTTTTACTGATTTTGTGTTACTTAAAAATATAAATAGTGCGCTATTTATGCCTGGTGGAGAGAGGTATTTTTAAACGATTCATGTGTGTGCTGTAGTTGTATGGACGAGTCCTCAACACTCTTTGAAATTCGCCTCATTTCCATGTCTCATTTACTTCAAATAAAAATAAAATAAAATAAATCACAGCCGCGGACATAAAAAAATATCAGCGCCAGAAATCGACCATAAAGATGTCCTCAGCACCGAATGCGAACAATCGGACCCTCGAACCCCCCTTGTGACACACAAGAGCGCACTTGGGGGGGTTGGAAACAATGGCCGCTCCCTTCCTAGTCCGTCCCCGTCCAAGCCTTTCTCAGCTGGTGCGCAGAGATTGTTCCCAGGGGTCCAATCCCGCCCCACCCCCTCGCGAAATCAGCCCCGTGCCCACATCCTGGACGGGGCGGATCGATTTACACACTGATCTTGTACTTTTCGATTTCCAGATCTCCTAAACTCGTAATCGCGTGTAACTGATCTAGGCTCAATTCTTTCGCCTGTCTGGTTTCATTAGAGTTATCTCTTTAGTTGATTGTACGTATCTCCCCTTATACAGAAAGTACGGTACGACTATGCTGTAATCTTATTCCACATAACACAATGAAACAACAATTCTGCTCTCATGCTCTCATGTTTAGATTTGTGTTATAATGTATTAGTTACAGTAGTAATTTTATTTTTGTTTTTAGTACCAGTTTAAAGTATCCCTAGTAGATTTTATGTTTCGGGATATTGTCTTCGGTTTGTATGTGTGTCTGTCGGCCATTGTGTTGTGTCCAAAATATCTTTCTTTAGTTGTTTTCGTGTTGTGATAGTCAAACAAATACAGCATATTAACATGTATATTTATTTATCTGTCTTAAGGTCGGTCAAATCCAGTTCTATCTATAGTTAAAAATAATCTAAAATTAAATTACACTAATTTTATCTGTCAGCGTGTGTGTCCGTCTTTAGGTTGATCCATGGCACATCCAACATTATAGAACACATTCCTATGTGGGTCCTTCGCTTAGTTGTTTAATAACACACATTAAACTACACATCTATGAAGCAGCACACTCAGTAGACAACACACCAATTAACAAAGAAACCCATTTAACAACACGTCTATTTTACAACACGCCTATTGACACAACACACCCTTTAAACAACAAACCAATTCACCAACACACTCAGTAGACAACACAGCCCTCTACATCAGTACGTAACGATTGACACGGGTCCAGTACATGCGTGTCGTGTTTTTATCCGCCACGACGGAAGATAAGTGTACCAAAACATGCATGCAGTTCTCACTCACATGCATGCAGCGTACTCACTCACCGTGCACATCGATCTGAAAATCTCTGATCTTGTTGCAGCGACACGCCCGCTCCCCCTTAGCACCCCCTCCCCCTTAATGTCCCTACCCCACATCCACATTTATAGTTACGCTCTAAAACACTGAGATAAAAGTAGGCTTATATAAAAAAAAAATCTTTAAAAAAAAAACTGCCTGTTTGAAGGATAGACTAGTTCAATATTCTAAGTATGCCACCATCTTTGTTTTGATTCTGTCCCACAGTTGTTGTAGAGGTCTCTAGTTGAAGGCTCGACAACATTTAGACCTGCCGTGTTTGTTGTTGAAGTTTATAAATAGAAGTGTGTGTTGTGTATGAGTGTGTGTGCATGTGTGTACGAGTGTGCTCATAAGCCTACGTGAGTTTAAATATGTATGTATGTATGGATGGATGTGTTTATTAATATAATATGTATTAGTGTGCTTGGGTATGTATATTTGTGTGTGTGTATGTATGTAGCGTGAACACTACTTAAATATTCAGTCTTTTCCTTAAGATGTTTGCATACTCAGCAGCGTAAGCTACTAACAACTTAAGCATGAAGCCTGTAAGAAAATCCAGTGAAGAGTGTTTTAAGCGAGTTAAGTTTGATTTCTAACTGAGAGTGGACGTAGGATTTAATGTGTAACATAGCCATAATTACGTTTTCCATTCAATACCTGGTTTTCGTTTACTTGATATGTTATAAACTTGTCTTAACTGTTATGGTCTTAATGTCTCTAAATTTCCCTTATACGTCTTTCATTGTTACATTCTTTAAAACAGTGTATTCACTCCCCTTCCCCCCTAAGGGCAGTAACCATGCTATCTAGTTTTCTTTTTGAAACACTGAGATCGATTTTATCAATACTTAACTCAGCTGAACCCAATGCATGTTGTGCAATCGGGATCCTGATATTAAAAAAAGAATAAATTTATCTTCCGTCTAGGGGTCACGGGCTAGGGGTCGCAAGTTCAGGGGTCGTGTGTTTGCTTGTTGATGTAAAACTTTAAGTTTGGGATCAGCTACTGTGACAAGGGACGCTACTCACAACCAAGCAATGAAAAAAAAGAAGGGAAAGAATGCATGCATTATCTTTGAATGAATGAAGACGATGGTTTCTATTTTTCTCCTCCCCCTCCCCCTCCTCTTGTCAATCCCCTCCACCCCCCTACCCCCCTCTCTTGCAGATAGCATCAGTGTTAACACCCGCTCTCTCTCGATCGATGGGCGTTTCCTATGGTAAGCGAGTGGAAGATATCGGGATTTTTAGGAGAGTTCTCATAAAATAAGGGTGGGGGGATGGGGAAATGGACAGGGGAGGAACCCCCCCCCCCCCCCTCCACCTTTCCAAGTGGGGGGGATGTTTAAAGATATGCTTTTGGAATAATATTCTGGCACAGATGTGTCAATGATGTAAAAAAAAAATTCCTTTCATTAGTGTAAAGATCTACCGACTTCGTTTATGGCAGCATCATTCCGTTTGGGGAATATACTCCGACGTTTCTGCCCGCGTAAGATGAAGAAAGAGCGAGAATCGTTCTGTGCTAATTAGTCCAACAATGATGACGGTTTTTTTTCCTCGTTCTGTTTTGCTAATGAACGGCCCCACCTGCTTGTTAGCTCAGAGAAAATACACCTCTAGCTTTGCCTTCAAGTCTGGTACTGTTGTCACAACATTCGATAATAAAACACGGATATGCCTGGTGATATGCGAATTGTTGGACGAAGTGTGTAAGGAAACTCCCGATGTTTCGAGATTTACCTCTGGTTTATTTTCTTCGGTACATTGTTGGGTGGGGAGGACGAGGAGAGTTTGTTGAGAAAAAAAAAAGATAAGAAGATTTTAAAGCTGGTGAAACGAAAAAAAGAATTAATGTTTTGTTTTTATTGGGTGTGTCGGTGACGTCATTAACGTGAGTATCGTGTCACGTGACGTGAATCTAGCTTGTGAGTGAGTGATGGTGTGTGCAGTGTTAGATCACGTGGAGTGTATGAGGTCTATTTTATCGATGACGTGACACATTCCGTCACGTACTATAGGTCTGGACTTCACACGTGAAAAAGTGCGTTCACAAGGTACTAATGATCACGTTAGTTTATTAAGTTTAGTAATGTTGACGTGGTCTTAGACACGCCGTTCTATTGGACGTGACAACTTTGACATGACCGAATATCGCATCAATCGCTTTAACCGGATAATTTTGAAATGACTGTAGATCACGATATATCTGTGCAGCACGCTATAACGTGGTGAGCTTAGACTGTTGGATTTAGTCAATTCTGAGTGAATTTCGTCGTGATCTTGACGTGATCTTGAGTTAGTCTATATATTTTAACAATTTGTGAATAGATCTATCACTTACCTGAAACCTAGTCTGTACTCTAGCTCTATAGATCACGTACGTGACCTCTACTCTCTAAAGATGACGTGAGCATATCACGCCGTGATGTCTCCATAAAAATGTTGACGTGAACATAGATCACGTCCGCGATGTCTCGCGATGCCTGCACTGGGCGAAGAGCCCCGTAATATGCGTCTCATCAACGAGCTCACCGAGCCGGAATTTTCCGGCAAGAACAATAGCAGCTGAGATATTAAAACCTGCCAAATTGAAAAGCCAACTTAGCGTAAGGTCTGCTCGCTGGAGCCATGTGAAAGATAATTTAAAACTTTAAGAGAAAGAGATGGAAGGGGGTGGGTATTCGCCAAAAAGTGGAGGGAGGGGGGACGACACTTCGCCAAAAAGGAGGGGATACTCGCCATAAGGGTACTCGGCGACAACGAAAATGATGAAATTAGGCCGTGACGTCAGCGTGTCCATTGTGGTGAAGTAACTGGGAGCGTTGAAAGATTTCTCGGGGACGACTTGCAGCTCGCTTCCAACTTCACCTTTTGCCCGGGGCCTTGCCACGTCAAGAGAAACACATTAAAACTTGTAATTTGATTTTTTTTCCCCCAAACTCGCATCCCAAAATGTTTTACTGTTTGTATCTGAGGCGTGGTCAGAGATGGGTTTTTAATTCATTTTTTTTCCTCTAAATCCGTGTAAACATGGGCTCATCGTAATTCGACACATTGATGATGTTTTTAGATGTTTTTATCCAGTTCTCAAATTTTCCTCGGCATTATTAAAACACAGTTTAATCAACATAATATCGGAGTCACAAATATAACTTAATTACTTTGTAAATTATTAAAACAACAACAAGGAAACACGCAAATGATTTAGGCAAGATATAAGAACAATCGCTTACACATAGGACTGTGATATAACTAAATCTAACGTAAAACCAGTTTGTGTTTCCAATACGTGTTTGAAATGTTTTCGACAAAGATGTGTGACAATGTGTTATGACGACTCGTTTTGCTGACATTAGCTCATTACAATTTTAACTTATAATCTGTATACATTTATAAGTAAGCCTACAAGTTCCTCATTTCGTTTTAAGTAATGTTTTGTTTTGTTTATTTTCCCAGATGGCAGCTTTGAACCGGAAGTGTACTCGCGTAGCAAGAGGGCCTATAGAAGTAAGTGATCATTGTCGTTATATATTTGGTGATCGCATACACCATAATTTAACATACTCCAGTTTACAACATAAACTTATAGACCGTAGCGTAGGGTGACACACACATATATGCCACATTAATACCAACATACTAAAACAATATAAAGCAGACAAACATACATGTCAACAGATCAGCGAATAAAACAGAATGTTCACAAAGTCTAATCCCGCTGGATGTCACGCAGATCTTGTTGAGTTTGACCAGAAATTCACGTGACATCACGATGTTACCTCATGCTGTTCTAGACACTATTCCACCCAGACATCAACCTGGGGGTTACACAATGTAAACAGTGCCGAGATACAGGCTCGTGGACCACAACACACCATCACCAACAAAGCATTGACTCACAGACCACAACACAATCACCAACAACACACTGACCCCAAGTTCACAACGCACCATCACCAACAACACGCTGACCCCAAGTTCACAACGCACCATCACCAATAACACATTAACTCACACACCACAACACACCATCACCAACAACACATTGACCCCCAGACCACAACACACAATCACCAACACATTGACCCAAGGACCACAACACACCATCACCAACAAAGCATTGACTCACAGACCACAACACAATCACCAACAACACATCAACCCCCAGACCACAACACACAATCACCAACAACACATCAACCCTCAGACCACAACACAATCACCAACAACACATCAACCCCCAGACCACAACACAATCACCAACAACACATCAACCCCCAGACCACAACACACAATCACCAACAAAGCATTGACTCACAGACCACAACACAATCAACAACAACACATCAACCCCCAGACCACAACACACAATCACCAACAAAGCATTGACTCACAGACCACAACACAATCACCAACAACACATCAACCCCCAGACCATAACGCACTAACAAGACATCATTCAGCCCTACACATCTGAAATGAATCCATGCCTCATACGGCTTTAGCACATACACTTCTCACGTCGAATATAGCATTAGATAATATCTCTTTTATAGACCAATAGATAAGATGACCACACACTTAATCCCTGCATCTTCACAGTAACATCAATATGTTGTAATAAAAACTTAAATTTGTGCCTAAGTAACGAAACAAACCTAAAACGATCCCGAAAAAGTCTGAAACATATTTGTTTACGATCACAATACAAAACGTAGATAGATATTTGTTCCCCCCCCCCTCTCCACATGGTTTATTTACAGAGACCTCCGACCCCACGTACACTGACCCCTCTGACCCCCGTCCTAGAGCGTTGTTTATCGAACTCAATCATTAATTTTTGAATCGCTCACCACATCACGTTTATCACCTACATCTCCAGGCACCCACTTGTGATTCGCTCACCCGTCAACGTTTGTTTTGCGCGCGTGCGTTTTCTCCGTGGTGTTGCGTGCGTGAGTTGCTAAATTTGGCCCCACCTCCCACCTACCCCCAAACTCAGATATCTATGGTAATAGACGATTCAAAGCTGTGAACTAGAGTAACTGTTGTATAAGTCAGCAAACCTACCAACACCCCCACACACCAGCCAACCTACACCCCCACATACAAGCCAACCTACCAACACCCCCACACACCAGCCAACCTACCAACACCCCACACACCAGCCAACCTACACCCCCACACACCAGCCAACGTACACCCCCACACACCAGCCAACCTACCAACACCCACACACCAGCCAACGTACACCCCCACACACCAGCCAACCTACCAACACCCACACACCAGCCAACGTACACCCCCACACACCAGCCAACCTACCAACACCCACACACCAGCCAACCTACACCCCCACATACAAGCCAACCTACCAACACCCCCACACACCAGCCAACCTACCAACACCCCTCCTTCAGCCAACCTACCAACACCCCCACACACCAGCCAACCTACACACCCACACACACCAGCCAACCTACCAACACTCCCACACACCAGCCAACCTACCAACACCCCCACACACCTGCCAACCTACCAACACCCCCACAGTCAACCGAACAATCACCTCCTCCGCCACCCCACCCCTCTTCCCCTACCCCCCTTCCCCCACTCCAACAATGACATTTGAATTCCCAGTCCCAGCCATAAACTAGCCATCAGCAGCGCTGAGAACAGCCAACAGTGGGTAAATAAGTCAATAGCCCGCTGCACGACAATTGATGTATTCCCTGTGCTGGTTGCTCTGGCAGTATGGTCTGCTTGCTCCCCTTGTTCACTCATCAAATCATAAACATTTTCAGGGTCATCTCCCTTTATTGGCTCTACAATCTATAACAATTAAGAGACAGTTATAATGGGGGTTTACGCTGAAAAGTTCGTGTTGCGAACTCATGAGATTTGTTCGAACGATTGGAGCCTGCGTAACGCGAAATGTTGTACGCGCACACGAAAAGAGAAATTTTCGGTCATTTAGTTGTGTTGGTGAGAATAAAAACCGTATCATGTTTTAACTAGCTGTGTGACATTTATTATTTTTGGAACAATTTTTACGGGTGCGACCGCAGTTGTGTATGAAATTTCTTTTTGGCGCATTTGCCAAATTGCCAGATCGTATTTTTTTGGCCAGTCCCACTTGGGAAATCTGGCAAATCTTTTTTAACCCGGAGATTCGATGCACTTCGTGTGCGTGTGTGTGTGTGTGTTGCGAGAGTGTATGTTTGTGTGCGCATGCGCAGAGCGTTAGACAGAGCCATAATCGAGTCTATCCCAGATGAGAAGGAAAGAATGCCAGACAGACACTTCTGAGACCGAACTAATGTCTGGGAGCTGCTAATGTATGTCTATGTCCTGTCAATGTCTGTGTATGTCTTGTCAACGTCTGTGAATGTCCTGTTCTGTTGGCATCCTGGCTCTGGGGACTCGATGTTTGGGTCAAACGTGGGCTAGTTGAGTCTAGACTAGACGTTCTGTATACTGGCCAGTTGAGTCTAGACTAGACGTTCTGTGCTAGTTGAGTCTAGACTAGACGTTCTGTGCTAGTTGAGTCTAGACTAGACGTTCTGTGCTAGTTGAGTCTAGACTAGACGTTCTCTGCTAGTTGAGTCTAGACTAGACGTTCTGTATATTGGCTAGTTGAGTCTAGGCTAGACGTTCTCTTATAGTTGAGTCTAGACTAGACGTTCTGTGCTAGTTGAGTCTAGACTAGACGTTCTGTATATTGGCTAGTTGAGTCTAGACTAGACGTTCTGTGCTAGTTGAGTCTAGACTAGACGTTCTCTGCTAGTTGAGTCTAGACTAGACGTTCTGTGCTAGTTGAGTCTAGACTAGACGTTCTGTACATTGGCCAGTTGAGTCTAGACTAGACGTTCTGTGCTAGTTGTGTCTAGACTAAACGTTCTGTTCGTTGGCTAGTTGAGTCTAGACTAGACGTTCTGTGCTAGTTGGGTCTAGACTAGACGTTCTGTACATTGGCTAGTTGAGTCTAGACTAGACGTTCTATTCATTGGCTATTTTTGTTCAACATAAGACTTCGGTTATTACTTATTTCACACGCCATGCTGTACTGAAGCAATTTTAAAATACCTTCCGGTCATGCGCACATCATATTTTTTAGGGTAACTCTACTCCTCCCAGATAAGACAGATTTAAAGATACTTCAATCATGAGCGGACCCATAGAAATTTTAATTAAGCGTTATGTTTTATAATGAGTGAATACGTAATTAAGTGAAGGATCAGGTGACATTTTCTACTTATGAAAAACATTTCTAACAGTTTTGTTTTTGTTATGTTTTTGTTTTGCATCTTTCTACATTCTTAAAACGTATTTAGAAATTATATATCACTATTATTTATAATCGCAAAAAAATATCTAAAAATAATTGGCTATCTTAATGTGCATTATGACGTAGTTTGGCAATATAATACGTGTAATCTATATAATAAAATAATTTTTTGTCCACGAAATAACGCGCCCATACGTAACGAGTGTGTTATGTTGGGGAAGTTGTGTGAGATGGATTTTCCCCATCGAATCATCTAAATGAGTGAGATCTTTTCAATCTGCAGAACGGTTCATTTCATGTACGGATTCAATTTTAATGAGCGTAGATGCGCATTACAGCATGTTTTTCAGGTTCTTATGGTGGGATTGATTAGCAAACTGGGGGGGGGGGGGGGGGGAGGAGGAGGAGGGGGGGGAGATGGGATGGGGGTTTGCCAGAAGCTAGTTATGTTATATTTAAGCTTGTGATCTCTGTGTGAGTTGATTGGTGGTGTTTCTTTCTCCCTTCACATAGTGAGACTGATACACGACAAAGCATTGTCACACCCCCATACATCATAGAAACCGGCAGTTTGGTTGTGTTACAGAAATCGTGAGCTTAGACCGTCAATTCCGGACTGAAAGATGACACTCTTTTGATATTTATGTCAGATTGCAATAACACAATCGTTAAATTAAGGCCTAATCGTAAATTTAATCTAACACTGAAACGTAATATAACCATGTGTAATTCAAACCATTAGCATACATCTAAACATAGTCCTATCTTACCAATATACCTACTACATTTCATACTAAATCAAACGGAAGAGATTTTTTTTAAACTGTTGTACATATCACCGTTACATGAAAATGTCAAAACTAATGTTATTTGATCTAAATAAAAAGTTTAGGATGATTAAGGATGCCGATTTCAGATAATAGACTCTTCCAAATATAGTTTGTTTGTAGTATTGTAACCTCGACTAGTTTTTTTGTTAGAAATTAGGGTTAGGCGTATGGTAGGACTAGGGTTGGGGTTAGGGATAGAATTAGTATCTACTTAGCAAGCCCTGTGTGTATTTTAGTTAACTACCAGTAACCTAACACCCCTTTTAAATATGATTCTATTATCAGACACCGGTATACAAAAAATCCTCCTTAGTGTATAAATTTTAAAATAACTCGAAGTTTTTGTTGATGTTAAGGCGCTGATAAAACGTGGCTGTAGTACCTAAAGT